CGAACTGCAGAACTGCAGTCAGCTGAAGTAGCCTGCAGTGCTGCATTTAACCACTGCGCCACCTTGGCTCAGTGGTTAAATGCAGCTACTTAGATTGTCCCTTAGCACATCCCTTATTCTTGTCTACTCAGCAGATAGAAACTTACCAAAAATTAATGTAAATGTGTTGGAAAACATCTTTTCAGAAGCAAAGAGAAAACAAAATCATACATGCAAGATTGAAATCTTCCGGAAAGTCCCTCATTAATGTGTTTGTTTGTTTGTGTGTGTGTGTGTGTAGAGGGGGATCTCAGTCAACTTCTTGCTTCTAATGTACAAACCGCACTCTTTACTAGCATTGATGATGTTCCTTAGTTTGGGTAATGAAACATCTGCAAGAAAACTAGAGAGCACCAAGGGCTCCTCATTTCAACTCTGAGCTACAAATATTTTCCTTTATTGGTGCTTCTAAGGTGTCCAGTTTAAAAAAAACAAAAACATTTTAAGCAATTCTTCCATCTTCTCCCATCAATGTTAGTTCTAGCCACAATGCTTTTGTTCACGATTTTGTAACAACTTTTTGAACGCTTGTCTATTCGGCAGAGATCTGTGTGCGACGAAATTTTAATGTATGCCAATTAGTGGACGTTTAAAGTGACAATAAAGTTATTCTAAGTCTAAGATGGAAACTAACCAAGGAGAAAAAGTAATCTAGAACTAAGGAGAAGCTTCCTAACGGTGAAAACAATCAATCAATGGAATACCTTCCCTCTAGAAGTTGTGGGAGCGCCATCACTGGAGGCTTTCAAGAAGAGATTGGACAGCCATTTGTCAGAAATGGTAAATGTCTTTTGCTGGAGCAGGGGGTCGGACTACATGACCTCAAAGTCCCTTCCAACTCTGTTGTCCTATGTCCAACTGAGTTCAAGAGCCTTTATCCCACATAAGAGGTGATGGGATTGCAGCTTCAATATGTTTTTCCCCCCTGCAGATAGCAATATTCCATTCTATCCCCACACAATCTCCAATTATTCAAAGATCCCATAATTTATTATTACTGTGATTAAAAACAACCACAAAATTTAAAAAAAAACACAAATTTTACTTACTGTCTCGGGTTGCTTTGACAATATCCTCATCAGTAGCTGCAAGTTAAAAACACAAAACTTTTATAACGAGGAAATTAACTTTGCACCTTCAATGCAGAGCAATCGCAGACAACCCGAATTCACAGAAGGGAAATTCCCCCAAACAATTGTTTTGGGAAGAATCATCCAAGATTGTTTTCTATCAACAGACACTGATGTCTTTAACAGATGATGTAAATCTAGTAAATGAGGTAGTCAAAAATATTTTGAAGCCTCAGACAAATTTATATGCTTTTTTTTTAATGATCCTGATTCCTTGTTTTGGGATGCCAATTGCCAAATCCCAAAGCAACTGCCTTTTCTTTCCTCGTGATAGTATTGTCCCTAAAACTAAACTAAGACTAAAACATATGAAGAACAGTTGCAGGAACTGGGCCTGGCTAGTCTAGTGAAGAGAAGGACCAGGAGAGACATGATAGAAGTCTTCCAATATTTGAGGGCCTGCCACAGAGAGGAAGGGGATCAAGCTATTTTCTAAAGCACCCGAAGGCCAGACAAGGAAAAATGGATGGAAACTGACCAAGGAGAGATTCAACCTGGAAATAAGGATAAATTTTCTGTCAGTGAGAACAATCAATCCATGGAACAGAAGTTGCCTTCAGAAGTTGTGGCAGCTTCATCACTGGAGGC